ATTTGGTTTGGAAGAAAGAACTCTTTTATTGAGAATAGAGTTGAATCCAAGCCGTGAAGAGCAGCATAAATTACGATTGATGTTATTTAGCTTTTTGAAAGCTTCAAGACAAGATAAGCTCGGTCGGGTTATGGTTACAAATCAAGTATCTATGACAGATCATTAATGGTCTATACCTTTTCGATAGTCATAAATAATTAGTAAAGTTGTAATTATTCGAGTGGATTTCTTTAGCTTTGCATTTTCAAAAGAGGAAGTGCGATTTTTAGCAGCTCAGTAAATAGAATAGAAAGGCGTGAAATGTTTGGGAGAAAATGTTGAAGATGAACGTCCATTACAGTTTTCTACCAAAGCAAATTGTTAAGGTTTTAATTTGTAATTTATAACATTGACCACCGTCGCTTTCAAGGTTGCAACGTTGGCAAAAAGCGGCTTTTTCATCAATACTAAGTGATTGCTAGCAGCTACAGATATGCTTAGGTCAATTATCTATTTCTGACGCATGGAAGTCAACTTTATACTCTTTAGACTCATTTAAGAAAGGTTTTTGGCTGACAAACGATTCAACACTGCGAGCAGAGATCCGAGGAAAAAAAACAAAACTACAGAGTATGTTAGGAAAATCTGTTGTGTTTGGCGAATCTCCAGAATTTAATTTTTAAGCTATGTTATTATAGATTGCAAATAGGTAAAATTTACATGGAAAAATCTGCAGTTACTCAGATTATTGATAGAGCAACTAGACTGAGTTCAAATGGCTTTATAGCGCATAATCCTTACTATAAAACCAAGTTTGGTTCGTAGCTTGTTTGCCAAGCCATAACATTTTATAGACAATCAAAGTTGCTTGAGAAAGAAACGCTTACATCAATGTAAAATTATAGAAAACTTTCTCGCGAACCATCAAAAATTTCAAAAGCGCTAGCAAACAATTGGTTTACGTTTCTAATTAATTCAAACATAATCGAATAATCGAATAATCGAAACACAAATCAAATGATGAACCTTGAAAAGTAATGCGATTATCGGCTGCTACACTGTTCCCACCAAGTTTACGCTGTGGCCTTATCATTATATGACAGCAAGGCGTTTCCCACAAAAAATACATAGCAGTGGTCAATGATCACTTCTGGAAGCAAAATCTTTAGCGACCTCTACACTGGAGGTCAACGCCAGCGGCAGTGTCAAATTAGTTTTAAAATTTTGATCTCTCTAAGAAATTCAAATTTATGAGGAGCGCATTAAGTTAAGGGGATCAAAAAGGGTTGGAAGAGACTGCAAATATTAGAAAGAGTTATTTGGAGAGGGAAAATCGTTTGAAAGTTTAGAGTTTTTCTCAAATTTGAAATAATCGCTTCGATAATAACATAGCTGAATAGCTTTGGTTTATATTGCTGGTAGTAGGCTGGATCCTAGAAACAAAGCCTGATTCTAAGAATCCAGACTGTCCTTCCACAGAATTTTTGAAAATCATCGCTTTTACCTCTCAAAAAATCTCAAATCCTATATTCACATGACCGTAGGCTCTTAAAAGGAATTTTCTCTGTCTTTATCCTCCTTCAAAATTCAAATTTGGAGATCTTTGATCTTTACAGCGAAGTTGCACTTCCTTCTTTGATCCACAATCAAGAAATCGCGGGAAACGTTGCCACTAGCCGGGACAGTTCACTCGATTCCACCAAGGCACCTTGTTCTATGCAGTCTGGAAAATTCTTCTATCCCTTCAATTCGTCTTTTATATTTGTGGTTTGTCAAGCCATTAGCTCTTAAGTACTTCAAATGGCATGATAGGTGTTAGAAGCTAATATCTACTTTATGACTTTTTCAGATGTGGTGTGTAGCCTTGTTAGTGTTTGGTTTTCTTCGACAAACATTGGGTGCACCAGCAGAGGTGAGGGATCTACTATATGTTCGGTTTATAACTTTTCAGGATTGATGAAGTTCGTTTTGAGGAATTGATTTATTGATTGGTAATTGAAATATCTTCCTGAAATTCGCCTTTAAAAGGGTTGCAACTTACTACCAAAGAGATTTACCCTATTAGGGTTGTCGATGTAGCAAATTGGAGAAGAACAAACATTCTTCTAAATTGTCGGAGATAGAGAAATCCTTCTTTTAGTTTCTGGGCTAAATCCTCTTCCACCTCCTCCCTTTCTGAAATATACAATGAGATGAAACAAATTTCAGAAGCCAGTCCTACTCTTCTCCTGTCCACGTAACGCAGAATGCTATGCTTATCCTCCAAATTGTGTTGATAACTGCAATGCAGCATTTAGTGTGAGTCAAGAATTTCCCATTCAAATGATAGATATTGATCCATGTGTAAATTCTACGTTTAGATGCAACCTGTAGGAAAGAACAAGACAACTTTTAACATAGCAATGTTGTCAGGGTTAGGGTATGTCGCTGTGCTGGCAAAATACCAGGTGGGGAGGACCTTGATGTAGTAGGCCTTTAGCCCTATTGGGCGAAAGATATTTTAGGGCAAAGAGAAATACGAAAGAGCCTTCATATGTTCATTCCATCATCCAAGAGGTATCACAGCGAACGTTAACTATCCGAATCCAATTGTAGTCCGCGAGGTGGGCTTGCCGGGATATGTGGGGTTAATCGCCACTTCAGAAGTAGCGATATTTAATAAAGAAATAAAGAAAAAAATTAAAAATGTTATTCAAAATTTTAAAGAAAATGAGCTGGATATTTTGATGAAAGAAAAGTGGCAAATTTCTGTGGTAAGAAGCACTGCAGAAAATGACCAGTAAGTAATATACTACACAAGTATTTCAGGATATTTTTGAAAATCCAAATTGATGATATGCATCCGTGTGCTGGTTTTGAACATTACAAGGCCTAATTTGATTCATGTTAGGTATTCACCAACCTGAAAACTACCCAAATTTCTGTGGTCGGTGTCCTCACTTGCATACCTGGATAATCAAAAACATTGTAGGCTTTCTCGCCTACAATGTTACCTTATTCATGTATAGCTGCGTAATGCAGGCAGTCTGCACTTCTGTTAATGAACTTCAAGATCGCATGGCCCTGCAAAGATCCCGTATGCTTCTAAGAACATCGACACTTCGCAATGGTGTCCTGTTAAATTTTTGCAAATTGCATCTGTCTAGCTTTTTGGTTGCTTTCAAGCTTTTCAGAGCCTGATTTGCTTTCAGACGAATATTACCTCAAAGGCTGTCTTTAGCTAAATGAAATTCTTCGCAGCCAATACTAGGCGCCAATCGGTATTGGATACATACCATATCAAGAGATGGTGTTGAGAACTGCTTATGTCACTCTTCAAGCTCGATAACTCCTTAGAAATATGTTCGTAAGAGATTTGGCACTACAATGGTTAAGCTATGATAATTTTTTTACATGAAATTCGTATTGGGTTATAAAAAGGCACGGTAGGGTTACTGTAGACGCGTCAATAAAACTACTGTAAATCCTTAGTAGGCGTAAGTCGTAAATTACAAGATGGAGCGAATTTTTCCGAGATTGGATTGTACGGTATACAAAAGGTCAAAAATGTTTCTTGGTTTGCCAGTAAGTACATTTAGCTCTAGTTCAGCTCTACAGAAATTCAAAACCCATCCCAATTTTTGCGG